AGTCACCTTTCTCACTGAACGTCTGTTAATAGGCCTCTCTGCTGAATCATACTTGTTATTAATCTCTGTCTCTCTTCCTCAGCATGTCTTTCATCCTGTCTTTCTTCTCTCACCCCAACTGGTCGCAGCAGATGGTCCCACCCCTCCCTGAGCCTGGTTCTGCTGGAGGTTTCTTCCTGTTAAAAGGACGTTTTTCCTTCCCACTGTCGCCAAAGTGCTTGACCATAGGGGGTCATATGATTGTTGGGTTTTTTCTCAGTATGTATTATTGTAGGGTCTACCCATTGTGATTTGGCGCTATATAAATAAAATTGAATTGAATTTAAAAATTGAAAAAACAAACTGTGTAGCCATCTCCCCCAAATTTCATGGCAACCCATCCAAGATTTTAGTCTGAACCTTGTAATGTGGACAAAAACAAGAGTGACCTGCGTCAATGAACACAGCAAACAAGGCAAATCTTGTCAAACTCTAGCCTATTTTATAAACTCAGAGTGATCACCTCTTATACAGGAACTAAAAGTGTCATTATTTCACTCAGGATTAACTGTTCAGTATTATAAAGATTCTAAAGAATATGATATACAATAGTGCAATAGCCCTTTTGTGCCTTTGTGCAATATAGTACAAGGCTTTCAAAGGTCACAGGAACTAATCACTAAAATCAAGACCAATATGTGGATGTGAGACAAAGCCATAGGTTTATATATCCTTCTGGACTTCTGAGATGACACCATCAAAAATGTATAGGTGTTTATAAATCAAGTATGGAGTATAAATAATACGTTATACTTACAGGTGCTTTTTTTTGCTTAAAAAAAGAGAAACAGCTTGTTTCATAAAATTGAGACTGATATTCCTGTTTCCTTTCAACATGTTAATTACTGAGACTTTGAGGCACTGTCAGTTTTTTAAAAATGATATGACTATGATATGATGATATGAGACATTATCTTTAGAACCAAGACTGAGTCAGGCTCTAATCTTATACTAATCTTTAAAGGAAATGAGAAAAAACTTTTGTTAGGTATAGATGCTGTGAGTGCTTGATCTACTTGGACACCTTTCGTGGAAATATTGCTTCAGAGAAAAAGCAATTTTAAACACCTATTTTAAAAGAGTGCTTGATCTGAACTACAAACAGACTGGAGACATTGTTGCAAAAAAAGCAAAAATGCACAAGAGGAGCTAATAGCATGCTAAGATCATGTCACCTGACATAGACATGTAACCCTGAAAGTTTAAAAACCATGTTGTACTCTGCACATTAAGTGTCTGATGTAAAAGCTCCAGTATTTCATGTGCACTGTTAACCTTTATAAACACATTAACATATTAAAAATTATAATAATAAAAAATCATGTAGACAAAATTTGAACTTGTTGAAAAGCTTTAAGAGCACAAACAGGTAGTAAGTACACTATTCTGATTTTTAATCAATATAAGGTTAATATATCTGGGGAGACTACTATAAGCTGACTTTAGCTGACACACTAAGAAATATAAATTTACTTGTCAGTTTGCACCTATCCCACTTGATGACGCCATTAAGGTCTTTAAAACCTCCAGCAAGCTGTAACAAACAGGTTTTTTATTTCACACATCGAAATCAGCCTACCGATCTCTCACTCTGCTAGACGGCACATTTTTCAACCATTCGTACGCAAAAGACAGGTTTCCATGCACTTTTAGCTAGTCATTTCACTGTTACTAATTTTAGAATAACAGGTGCTTCCCTCATTTACAGATGGATGGATGGCAGCAGGGAGGATTGTTAAGGTGTTGCTTACTCATTCAGATATAGCATGAAGACTGCTGCCAGGAGATGAGAGATTGATGAAGCACTGAGGTTATCTTCTTTAGCTCTGAAATTGACTTTGAACAACCATTAAACTCAAGGACTTTTGCCATGGTTATAACAGTAAATCTTTGCAAGAGAGACCGAAAAGATGTGCATTCAAAGCACCATGAGGCGAATCTAAATGAAGAGTAAAGAAAGATTGTTATCAGTTTAGTTTTATTAATGCTCAGTTTTTAACACTTTTAAGACTTATGAACCACATGAGCTATTACCATGTCCTAAAACCTGAAATAAACTAGTCTGCACCCCTCTTTAAAATAACTGGGTTTGCAAGGGGAAAAAAGCCATCTACTTTCATCCTTTTTCATTGCTTCAAGATTGCTCCTGTCACTATCGACATTCGTCTCTAACACAGAACTACACTACATGGGCAGGTCATTTCCAGCACAAACAACTATCCATAAAGAGAATTCATTATCCCATCAAAGACTTTTCCTCTGAGACTCATCACTATGACACTAAACAGGGAGAAAAATTCCATCCTGCACACAGTCTAGGCCTGTAATCCCAGCAAGATGGAAACACCTGCTGTTAGCGAGTATGTCATTACCAAAACAGACACTACATTTTAATCAAGATAACTGTTCACTGCTACATTACAATGTGCCAATTTAAGGGACTAGGCAACAAAGCCTGAAATAAAATGTAAAACTGCTGCTTCACCCTGGATTTTCAAATTAATAATCACAGAATATGTTGTTGATACTACTTATAAAACTGTGTGGTTTGAAAAAGATTCTGATATTTAGGTATATTGTTGTGCTTGTGTTTGCTCCTGTGAATGAGTTCAGAAGAGATGAGTTTCCACAGTGGATCAATCTCCTGGCAAGAAACACACAATCCCCTCGATGCGAACATCAAAGAAGCATCCAAACCCGCTCCTTTAGAGTCTTACTCCTCACAGGCAGGCACGAGAACAGACCCGATTCCCCAAAAGCAAGCCAGTTCCTAATGAGGTTGGGAGATTTCAAACAGGGCTCAGACTCAGCTCTGCCCCCACAAAGCACTTCGAGACACATTCATTGTTCTATATTCACAAGTTTGACCTAGATCTTTTGTGGATGATGAAAATCCTTAGAGCAGATGTTTTAAAAGATGTGCGCTTAGATTTCTACAGCTACCTCTTCCTTTATCCAGAATTATAAAATTTGGAACATTGTCTAACAGACCCAAGCAGCTTCTTAATGGATTTTTCCTACTTCATTACTCATTAACATTAACTATAAATCAAGGTGTGTAATTCCCTTATGGCAATTGCCGTTTATTAACTGATTATCTGCTGTATTATTATTGACAGGCACATGCAATAATTAATCAACCCTGGTAAAACTTTGCATGCTTATTTAATAATGATGGGAAAAAACAGAAGACAAAAGTCTGTAGTTTTTGTGGGGGTACAACTAATGGTCTAGTCTACATACTCTCACCAACTTACTAGAAAAAAGGGTAGTAAACACATCAAACAAGTCTTGTGGTTATATATTTAACGTTTAAGAGACATTTTTAAAAACAGGAGGTTTGCAAGAAAATATTTAAACACCACACAGAAAATTTGTGCATTAAGCTTTTTTCGATCTATTCTATATTCTAGATTTACCTTTATACACTCAAATTAATGTTGAAAGTAATAATCATCTTAAGTTGGTTTCCACTAAGATGACTTTGAATGAATGTATTCACAATTAGCATGCAAATGGCACCATTCACTTATGGCTTCTTCTTTATATGATAGCACTTTAACCTGTATTTGTGAGTGACACAGAAACCTGTATTCACATACAGTGATTTCCATGAGCCCAATAACTTCAATGACAGAATCATTCCTGTTTTATTGCCATATTGTGCGAGGGCCCAAACATCCCCTGCTTCATCTGTGTGCCCTTGGTATCTGACTCGCTTGCTCCCCCTTGTATTTTAAAGAATCATTCTTTTTAGCATGACATTGTGGCGCAACCGCTTTAGTGTCTGCGTTACAGACATATGGTCAGAGAATAAGGCATCCTCGACATGTAAGTTACATACGGATAACCCATAAGATAACACCAAGTCCAATGTGTGGGACCTTTAACAGACTGAACAAGATTAAAAGAGTTTACTAAGTCCATGAAGTTCTTAACCAGTGGCTTCCCTGGGCAACAGATGTGAAAATTAAAATCACCGAGCAGCAGGATCTGGTCGTACCATGATGCACAGTCAGCAAGGAAGTCCGAAAACTCGTATTAAAAATCCTTATTATTTCTAGGAGGCCGGTAAACTATCGCATACAGCAACGAAGGCGAGTGGCTTAGTTCACTAGTTCACACAAAGTCCAAAACTGGTGTAGCGTGTTGGTGAGGATAGCTGCCTAAAATCAAAGTGTGCTTTAAAAACAACAGCTAACCCCCTTCTACCACCAGAAGCTCTCGGGGCGCTAAAATAAGCACAGCCAGCCGGCAGAAAAGGCACTTAACTCACCAGGTGAAGTCCAAGTTTCAGTCAGACGGAGGAAACCCAACGCATGGGAAGAAAAGAAATCCTTCAAAATGAAAGTTTTGTTTGCCACCGATCTGGCATTTATTAAACCCAACCTGAGGGGAGCTGGGTCATAGACTTCTGTGGGAGCAACTACCCAATCCACCGGTCGAAAGGTTTGATTGATCCGCTCCCCGCCAACGCAGATGTCGACGGGAAGGATTTAAGAGGGCTCCTCTCGATAGAGCCGACAACGGGAACCAACCAGGAGTCCACAGAGTCCAGAGCAAGCGATGGCACCAGGAGTCATGGAAAAGATTGACGAATGGAGTGAAGATCGTGGGGAAGGTAAGAAATCCAGATTCTCAGCTTAACGAGGCGACGTCCACGGGGACCCCGTATCCTGCGTCGCTTCCACATAGCTGGTGGCGTTGGAATGGCACAACACCGGCACGATGGTATTGCTTCCAGATAGGGAGGCAAAGAACCCTGGCTTCATTAAGCTGAACTAAAACTTTGGTGGATGAACCTGTTTTCAATAACGTCAGGTGATCATAAGACAGCGTGGAACTGACATCTTGCACAACGTTGGCTAAAAATAATAAAATGAGACAAATAAGAAAGAGCGGTAGATGGTGTGCCAAACACACAGGTGCCACCTTTACTTCAATCAGTTCATCAAATAAAATCAGTCATTGATCGACTCAGTTTGACTGACAGGACATATGATCAGAGGTGAAGAGTTGTTACCACCCTGATTCAGATAGGGACTGAAGTATGGGTGGAGTTTGTGAGTGAAGGAGCAGCCAGTAAAGGAGTAGATCAGAGCTCCAGTACCTACATCATAAAAGGAGACCAGACCCTCCTCATAATCCACAAACACCCCCACCTTCTCAGGGCCAGAATAAAGACAGAGACGGAATGAAGGCCCTGCACAGGCTCTGTATTCATTTCCATTCCTCAGCACTATAGTCCAGAGACCATACTGAGGTCTCAGCATAACATTTCCCTTCCTGTTGATCGACTCTCTGGCCACTCCCAAGTCCCAGTCAGTCTTTCCTTTAACCTGAACCTCAAAGTAAAATCTGCCTGAAGAGAAACTCTGCGCTCCTAAAACACAAACACAAGCAGAAAATCTCTCTGGGTTGTCTGGAACATTCATCCTCACATCGCCACAGTATACTTGCTTCCCATCATCAGACAGGATGAGATTAGGATACGCTGTATCAGGATCCAGAGTCACATCCACTGCATACTGCTGGACCGTCTTCAGCTCAGCCTCAAACAGCTTCTTCAAGTCTTTCCTGAGTGTCTCCTCCAGCTGAGCCACAGCTCTCACCACAGTCCCCTCATATGATGGTGGATGGACTCTGACCTCTGTCCAGTCCTTGGTGGGTGGAGCAGCTTTCAGGGACGAGAAGCTTTGGAGGAGGTGGAGGTGGTCTTCAGAGTGTAAGAGCTGCTCCACCTCAAAGCTTCTCTTCATCAGCTCAGAGACTTCCCGTTCCAGATCTTTGATGAGACCTTCAGCCTGTTTCTCTGTAGTTTCCTGTTTGTCTTCGATCTCCTTTTTGAGCTCCTTCAGGCGTCTCTCAACAGACTCCTTCAGAGCAGTGAGGACCTGAACACCTTCTGCTTTCTGTCTGTCTGCAGCACCTTTACTCGTCTTCACTGACTCTTTGATCTCTTGAATTTTCAGTTGTCTCTTCTGGATCATCTGCTGAATCACAGCCTCTGTCTTCCCCAGCTCTGCCTTCTTTCCTTCATATTCTTCTCTCAGAGGAACAAACTCGTGGTTCTTGTGCTCTAAAACAGAGCAGAGCATGCAGACACATGTCTGGTCGGTCTTACAGAACAACTCCAGAGGTTTTTCATGCTTCTTACACATCTTGTCTTCCAGGTTCTCCACTGCATTAATCAGCTGATGTCCTCTCAGAGCTTTCTTTGTCAGATGAGGCTCCAGGTGAGTCTGACAGTAGGAAGTCTGACACACCAGGCAGGACTTCAGGGCCTTCAGTCTGGTTCCAGTACAGACGTCACAGTGAACTTCTCCTGGTTTAGCAGCTTGTTGCTCTGAGCTGCTGCTGCTGGCTTTCTGCTGAGCTTCACGTCTGAACTGAGCAACCATCTCAGAGAACAAAGTGTTGATGTCTAGTTCGGGTCGTCTCTTGAACACTCTGTTACACATAGGACATTTATGTCTGCCATTAGTGTTCCAGTGCTGAGTGATGCAGTTTTTGCAGAAGTTGTGTCCACATGGTGTGCTGACTGGATCAGTGAACACATCCAGACAGATGGAGCACAGAAACTGATCTTCAGATTGCAGGTTACTGGCAGCAGCCATGTCTGCACTCTGAGGGAGAAGGAAAAGAAAAATAAGTTTTAATTTAATTGCATGTTTAAGAAGAAAGAAAAAGGAGTGTGTCAGTCTTTTAATCGTTTTGAGTTATTGCTGTGATGAGCAGATGAAGCACTTTAACCCTCTGAATTAACAAACCTCCAGGTGAGAGTGAAAAATGTGGAAATCACCAGAATGATGCCATTTGTCAAGGCCACAACAGACATGATTGGCAGAGTTTCTACTTTCTGATGGTTCTTGGACCATAACGTTCTTGAGCAAAGTAAAGCAGCAGCAAATGTTCTAAAAACAACAAAACGTGTTCTCAGTTAAAATTTGAGTAGAATTTGAGTAGAACTTGGAAACTCCAGAATATTGATCTATTGGTCCGGAGTCTGCGATTCAGTGTTTGATGTTCTGGTTAGGTTTCTATTCTTTCATGTTAGTCATGGTTCTGTTTCCTTGCTCTTCCCGGTTTAATCATTTGTGTTTCCTGTTCGCTTGTTTTATTAGTCTTTAGGTTCTTGTTACTGTGTCTCACCTGTGAAGTGTGCCACTTCCTGTTTTATTTTGACAGTCCCCTGTCTCACATGCTTTGTGTTCAGTTTGCTTTCCCTTTGCTCATTGTCAGGTTGTCTGTTCATCTTCCCCATGTTCCCAGTCTCTAGTTTTTTCCGCCTTCCTTGTGCGGTGCTCTGAGTTTAGCTTCTCCCAGTTTACATTAGTTATTAGTTTTTCTTATTTTTGTAGTCTTGTGTATTTTGCCTAAATAAACGGCCCGCCTTTTGTTTGTCTCCCTGTGTTGTCAGTACCTGGGTCCTCACCCTCATCTTTGATGACAGTCTACTGATATTGTTGGTGTAGTGGTAAACTTGTTCACAGTAGCTCAGTTCAGAATGAAATTTGAAAGGAAAAAGTATTTTCTTCATTTTTTCTAAGAAATCCATGTTAAAAGTGTTCAACATATGTTGTTTGCAATATTTTGAAATTCAACTATATACAATTAAGAAATTGTCATTTGTTGTCTTTTGCATTGTTCAGATTTTTATTAGTGCGTGTCCAAATGAGACTTTACAGGATGAGTTTGCTCAGCAGCATTAGACACGCAGTAGCCTGGCAACCTGTCCAGGGTGTATCCCGCCTCTCAACGTGTATCATCTGGGAGCCTGAATTTGATCAGTAGTCATGAAAATGGATAGATGAGGTTTGCTGATGGTGTTGCACCACCCTTTATTTAACTTCCTGTTCCTGTTTCAATTGTTCATGATGAAAATGGTGGTATGTGAGACAGCTCAGCTAACAAAACTCTCCTCACTCTGTGACAAACACTATTTCCTCTCAATGCTTCACAATAAAAGTTTGCCTGCGCTTTGCTTTTAATGTGAAAGAGCTAAAGGAAACAGAAGCACTAATAAGAAGAGGAAATGTGGAGTCAGCCTGAAGTCAAAAAGATAGGTGCGTTCCAAAGAAACAAGGTCATTGAGGCACGCAAACCCCCTGACTACGTTAACTGAAAAATAAAACAACAAAAAATTAAATAAAATATTTCTCATCAGATTCCGACAACTAAAAACATGACATTTACCTTAATTGGATGGCCTATATCAAATATAACAATAACATTTCTTGCTATTGCCAATATTAAGAAAACTAAAAAGGGTTGCCATGGTAATAAAAGAAATCACCATGTCTTTTCCTACAATTTTAAAATTAATGTGTAGAGCACAGCAGGTTCAGAACAGAACATTTGAACTTTTTTCTTGTTTTAAGCTTGTTTGTTTTGCAAGGAACTGAGCTCTCTTTGCAGCTGAACAGCTCCACTCTCCTTTCTCTTCAATCCACTCTACAACAACAATCTCCTGCTTCCCTTACAGATTCATCCATATCCAAGTTGTTTGTTTTGCTCTGCCCTGCCCTCTGAGAAACCTGACACTGGCTCATTTGCATACTAACAGTGATTGGATGTTTAGCTGCAGGGAGCAATCTCTGTGGAGTGCTGTGTGAGTCTGCGCACAAACTAGTGGTGGGAATTCTGGCTCTTTTTAGAGAGCCGACTCTTTTGGCTCCCAAGCGGTTCTTGAGGTTATTTTGTTGCTTTAATTAATTTATTATGAACAACAATATAAAATTATGCACAAAATGAATTACTAATGTAAAAAAAAACGTGTTTTTATTTATATATGTTTATTATATAAATAACACATATACTTTTATTTATTCACTCCACATAAAATGAAAAAGATTATAAAATATAATTATATTATATAAATTATAAAATACAAAAACAAACTGTTTACAATTCAACTTTTAACTATTTAAATTTTCAGTTTTTTCCTTTTAAACAAATTTAAAGCGAAACAACACAAAACACTGCAAACCACAACACAATAAAATATAGATTAAAATATGCAAAACCAAAAGAAACAAAATGCACCTTCATTAATATCACACTCAGCTGTCTGTGTGTGATCTTCCCATTGCACTGATGGGCGGACAGTTCTCAGGTGCCTGTGCAGGTTGTTTGTGGAGCTGGCTCTCTGTGATATCCTTTTCTTGCAGACTCTACACTCTGCCTTTGCATTCTCTGTAAAATTGAAATGGTTTCAGATTTTGCTTCTTTTCTTGGCGTCACTCATTTTCCTTATGATACCTCTCTAATGTGTCGATGTTGTTGCCCCTGGCTCTCTTTCCCTCTCTTCCTCCTGCTCTGTTTGTGTGCTACTGCTGCTGCCAGTGTAACTACCGCCCCTTCCCCCAGACCGGGGTGAGAGAAAGAATAGAGATTGAAAATGTGACATTATTTCCAGGGCAAAGCCGCAAAGGATTGTAGGTACGAGTGGCAAGTGGTACTAGCCACTATCGCTGAAAACAGTCACACAGCGATAAAAAGAAACACAAAGAATGGCAAGAAGCTGTTGTATTATTAACTGCAATAGCCGGTCACATGACAGCCACAGAAAGCCGTCAGGTAATGAGATCAGTTTTAATTGGATTACGTCGTTGAAGAAAAATTGTTCAAGCCATGTTTCCGAAGTAACAAAGAGCCGACAGATGGCCTGGATTGCACTCATTCGAAGACCAAATATAACGTTCCAGAACACTCCAGCTCACATGTTAGTCTGCTCCAAGCATTTCCACAAAGGTAAGTCTTTTGTTGTAGTTATTACGTAATTTATCATAACATAATTGTTGATGTAGGTTACAAATAAGTCTTATATTGATTTGAATTGAATTCGTTGCACTATGCTGCTTTGTTTACTGTGGCTTTGCGAGCTAATGTTTGTTGTGTTTTGTAGGAAAACCAGCCTACAAAATGCTGGAATGCGATCCAGACTGGGCCCCCTCTATCAACCTGGGTCATACCGAGTTTAAGCCTGCTACCACAGCGAGATTTGCTCGGTTATGAGAGAGAGTGAGATCAAAACAGCCACAAAAAGTCCCGCATATATGTGCTCAAGTGTTGTATTGACGCAATCAAGTGATGAATAACTGTTTTCCAGTATGTTGTTTTGATATGTTTTTTTTTTTGTTTTGTTTGCATTGTTGATTTGTTTTTCACCGAAGCAGCTAATAAAGCACAATGGATTTTTTGCCTCTTTCTTGTAAGATTCTATAATAGAATGAAACAATAATGCCAGTTATAAATCAAGACAACAAATTGAATGAATTACGAAACACTTATTTTATTTCTACTGGATCTGAAAATGTAGTGTAATACTACAACCTGAAAAGACAAATAGATTGTGTTTGCCTGTACAGGAGATAAAGAAAAAAAAAATTAACAACAGCTGTGAAATGGAATAGTCCAAATCACCAAAGTAAACTGGACCAGGGCTTGTTGCAGGGATCTGAAGTTACGAAACATTTTATGAGTGTATGCACTCACACTTAGGACCATAAAATAATAAATATGTGCGTGATGCAAGTTGGGCAGCACACTAACGTCTCCTTCCGGATATCATCAGGTTCCCCCAGTTCTCCAGTTCTGCAAGTTGTTTACGTGCCCCACCCTCCCTCCCTCCTTGTTTTCAATTCTGTAACTTCTTCATTTCTATTTAATACATGGGGATCTGCCAGGCCCGGGAGCCATCGCCAGTCTCCGTCGAGGTCTTCCCCAAACTGCAGCTCAATTCATGTCAAAGCATTCACTTTTAACTACTAAAACGCTGTCAAACCTAAAATGAGGATGTGGGCCCAGCTAGTGAAATGTTCTTTCTCAACTTCTAAAAGCTTGACTTAAGGGGCGTTGCCTCCTCTTGTATCAGTGTAGAGCCAGCCCCGTTCATATGACTCATTTAAATGTCCTCCTGAAAGTGAAACTCTTACACACATATGGTTTAAGGCCAGCTACAAAAATACGTCTGTGCACAATTTTCAGTCTCAAACTGACTCTGAGCCTCTTTCTTAGGTTTTTGTTTGTTTTTTATGACCTCCATAAAACACTGGTGTTTAAGTAAGATCAGTGTTTTCTAGTCTTCTGCAGTTCTCAGTGCACAGCTCTTCTCTTTTCCTAAGTCCTTATCATATCTCCTAACAACTTTTCCTTGACCTCAGTGTTTTCATTGAGGTCAAGGAAAGCAGGTTAGGAATATGAGATAGGAGGTACTTGTGGACACCCAGAGGTTTATTCTCCTGAGCAGTGCCACAGCGAGACTCTTTCAAACAGCAGCTCCATGTTTCTACAGTAGATCAGTGGCTATATGAGGACATTTCTATTGAACCAATGTGACTGTGATGAACAGAGTGACTCACCACTGTTGCTGAGAAAAACCTGATGGACTCGGCTGAATCTTCTTTCAGAGACAAAGAGGACGCAACTGCAGCTCTGCTCCCTCATACATTCCACTTCTTGCTCCGCCTCTGCATGTACATGTTTGCATTTCCTGCATTAGAGGATCAGCTGGTTTGTAGCCGCCAACTGGTTTAACAGGGGGCAGATGTTAGAAATTCTCTCCTTTCAGCCTGCTACAGGTACAGGCGACATCAGGTTAAAAGTTGTTCATCTACATTTCTGTATTTTTATTACTTAAAATATGTAAATATACTTTTATGTTCATATATATTTGTATTTTCTAATTAGTGTTCTTAAATATATACAACAATAACATTAATTATGATTAATTACAGTATATTGTAATTAGCATTATAATGTTATCATTATTATTATCATTATTATTAGTAGTAGTAATCTGGATTAACCGACTAGCCTGGCTCTGGTCGTTGACGCTGTGAGGGGAAGTACGGTGTACTTCCAGCGCATCACTACCAGCGCGTTTCAGCCTGCCGGCCACCGTACTGGTGATGGGAATTCCGGCTCTTTCTAGAGAACCGAAAGAGCTCTTTCGACTCCCAACCAGCTCTTCAGGTTGTTTTGTTGCTTTAATGAATTTATCAACAACAATATAAAATTATGCACAAAAGGAATTACTAATGTAAAAAATGTGGTTTTATTTATATATGTTTATATATAAATATATTCAATTTAATTTTATTTATATACCACCAAATCACAACAACAGTCGCCTCAAGGCGAGTTTTGGAGTTTGTACGGTGGCCCCTAGAGACAAAGCACGTACAAACTCCAAAACACATATAAACTCTAAAAAGCACGTGCAAACTCCAAAGCACATTGCTAGCGTTAACTGAACTTCCAAAACAGAGCTACCTAGATCACTTAAATTACACAGTTGAAAGCATATGTGTATTCTTTGTTTATTTATACACAAACACTCATATATATTCAAATAGAAAAAAAAAAAAGAGTTCATTTACGTGTTACTACCACACACCAAAACTGGGGTTGGTACTTCCTGGCTTGTGTAACAACTAAGTAACAAAAGCTCAACACTGCCCCTAGCACCCTGGAGCACTTCCGTTGTGTGCTCCAGGATGAGTTTGTACATGTTTTGGAGGTTTCACGTGTTTTGGAATTTGCATGTGTTTTGAGGTTTGTATGTGTTTTGGACTTGGTACGTGCTTTGTCTCTAGGGGCCTGTAGTAAATATACTTTTCTTTATTCACTCCTCATAAAATGTAATAAATAAATTATATAATACAAAAAACAAGTATTTACATTTCAACTTTTAACTATTTAAATTTTCAGCTTTTTCCTTTTAAACAAATTTAAAGTGAAACAATACAAAACACTGCAAACCACAACACAATACAATATAAATTATAATATGAAAACAAAAAGAACATGCACATTCTCTGTCATATGGGCCTGCATGAATAAACTTTCTGAATCCTTTATCATCCGCAACTGAAAATAGTTGTTTATGATTACTATACCTTTCTAATGTGACGTTGTTGTCCCTGGTTCTTTTTCTCCCTCTCTACCGCCCCTCCCCCCTCTTCCCAGCGCAAAGCACAAGGCTCGCATGCGGAGTGAAGCGGAAAAAAAGTGAGAGAGAGAGGGTGAGAGAAAGAAAAAAAAAAACCCCACGGCTCGCTATAAGGAGTCGGCTCGCGTCGTTCACGTCAAAGATCCGGCTCTAAGAGCCATTTCGTTCACGACCGACACATCACTAATTGTTTGAGCCATGCTACCAGACAAATACCATAAAGCATTTGAAGAACCTTTACCCCAACTAATTTTTAAGATAATGGCATCCAACTTTCCTTTTAAGAAGCATATTTTTTTCCCTTTTTTTTTTTTCAGGATGATCTGAAATTGGTCAGGTTAGAGGCATTTGATGAAATAAACATGGGATGACCCAGTGAAGAGCTTCCAGCTGTGAATCATAGGCACAAAGTTAAGCCTTCAGATTCACAAAGAAATAACACTTTCCTTACGAATTTTTGTCAAATCTTTGTTCCACTGACCCAATTTTAGGCCCAAATTTAAGGCTGCTGTTGTTTTGTTTTTTTACAAGAAAACTCAGTTGGCTGGACTTTGTGCTGCGTGGCACTGTTCTGCTTCAACTGTGCATCATGAAAACCAAAAATGAATTCTTGTATAGCTGTATGCATCTGGGTCACTCTGCTGCTATTTTACTTGAAAGCGCTCAAATAATCCTTTTCAGGACTTTGTTCCATATGTCCACTTCTCTATAAAATGAAGCTCACTGCTGAATAATTCACCACCTCTTGGAGTTGAGTTATAGAACCAGAGAGGGAATATTGTTTTCTCATAGCTGATACCCTAACAGAGCGATCTCTTCAAGGAAACAAAGTACTCACACATATAATATTCCTAAAAACAGAATCATATTGAAATTTTAGTAATCTGACCAGCGTCTTAAAAATAATCGAAGCTATGGCTCCCATAATACATTAAAAGAATACTAACACACACACACACACACACACACACACACACACACACACACACACACACACAATGTAGCTCAACTTAATGTGCTTTGAGGCCACACAGCAAAAATGGTACATTCTTAATCTACACACAGATTTCTGTATGCTGCAAAGTTGTTTTTTTTGGGTATAAAAACTCAGGGCTGATTTATCTCTACAGAAATATCAAATTAATTTGTCACTTTGAAATTTGATAGCAGGTGATTAGTACTTTAAAAATGTAGGCTAAATTATTTGCAAACCTTTACTATGGTTATCATGCAAGCAGTGGTTTCTAATCTCCTACTGAGGTCTTTACAGGTTTTTATATCGGGAATAGCTTACTGTAGTATTTATGCTAGGCGAGGCTATTAGCTACCACGCTCTCCATCTAAGTGCAACTGTCTTTGTAAAAGAGATAAAGACATTTATTTTTGAACAAAACACCAAATGTGGATTTAGACTATCCAGCTTTCTTCACCATGTTTGTGTTCAGGATATTTTTTTAACACACTTAGCACAGCTACCTAATGCTAAAGCATGATAAAAACTACACATTAGCATCAGTGGTTCTTGACTGCAGCCTGCAGTGTACTAAGTAGCTACTTTCCCTTGATGTCATAATTTTACTGAATGGCTCCTTTTTAAGAATTGATGAGATTTAGCTGAATCAATTTGTTGAGAGATACAGTAATAGAGATCTGGGGGTGGGGGAATTGGCAAATTTCAATTACTTAATGTCCAAACAGCTTGCTAGTTGCAGCTGATAATTTAGAACTCCGGCTCCTGATTAAAAAGGGGGGGAAAGCAATGTAGCAGCAGCCAAAATGCTATTAGTGAGTTCAAAACTGAATGTTTGAAAGCTTACTAACCAGGTAAACATCATTTATTTAATATGTGTCAAAAAGTGACTGAATGATGCACCAAAATGTACGGTCACATCTAATATCGCACCAAGATACCCAGTTTGTAAAACTTTAGGTAAATAACTATAAATTTGATATAAATGACAGTGATTATTTAAAGCAGTGGGGTCTTAAATGACAGCATGACAGTGGGAGCTTTACATCCCAGAATGCTAAATGGCTGTTTAACTGCAGGTACTTGTCTCCCTCCGTCTCACCCACCTGCTCCAGATGGAGGTAAGAGATATCACAGTGTGTGGGCTTCATTGCTGGAAGCAATTAATTCCACTAAGCAATGGGATGGTTTGTCAGTCTAGCTTGCATGTCTTTTGTATTTGCCTCTCATATGGCTGCATTTAATTCAAACGTAAAAGGGGAGTGAGCGTCATTACAGAGGTCACATTTCTTCACACTGAGATTATCATTTTCTATATGTAGCGTAAACAAACAAGCCTTCAAATGTGAAAAATCAGTTCCCAATAAATTAGTTTTAATAATGACTTACTACAGTAACAATTTGCAAGTAATGAAGTGATTCTTTTTTTAAAGTATCAAAAGTAACTTTCCAGATGAGCTAGCCTAACCTTCATTCACCCCAAACCTGACCTGGACATAGCTGGAAGCCTAGTCTCATTATGAGGAGATTAGCTGTACAGCTAGGGTGACTCTAAGAGGATCGGATGGCCTCGAAATTCTCACTCTCTTCTGACTTTGTTATCTGGTTTCACCCCCACCTGTCTATCTAGGTTTTCCGACGCAGTGGGGGTCGGAAAACCTAGTTCTAGTTCTAATTTCTTTTCATTATCTATCATCAGTTTCACTGCAGGGGCCATGCTGTTATATCAACTGCCAGACTCTTCTTCTTTCTGGCTGTTGGAGGTAAATGCAATGTATTTGTCAACGGCAAAAGTTGCCTCAGTGTATCCCCCATTCTGTAATTCATTTGTATTTGAGCTGGTGTACATTTTTCTCTTGTGTCAGTGTTTCTCTGCATCAAGATTAACAAAGAAAATCCTTGAGCGTTCAAAGCTGGTTGTCTTTCAGGAGGTTATTTAACTGCAGCAATCAATCTGCAGTGCCAACATAATCAACCACAGGCACTGCACAGGCAAATATTGAATATACCATTCGCAGTAAAACCAGAACATCAATAGAAGTAATGAGATATTCTGCGGATAGCTCCTTTGTCAATACTTGTTGTATTCCAGTTGACGTGTGACATTTACCTGACTTTTAAATACTGAGTGTGTTTCTATCCACTTCCTGTCTGACTTCCTAGTCCTCCAGAACATGAACATGAAATACAGAGTTACTATATTATCTGCCACCAACTTGCACTAATCCAGGATTTTGCAGTCCCGTTGCTCGGATGGTTCTCACCTAGTCTGTTATGACCTTTTGTCTTAGAACTCCTCACTGTTAGTGTACTGTGTTCTTACTTTGTAGCTTTAAACTTCTAATTCTTGTCTCAGACTGTTTCTTTTAAATCTTTTGCTATTATTACTCAGCACACATTGTTACTTAATATTGTCTATTCATCTGAATGCTTCAGTGCATTTCACTCTGCTTGGTCAAAGCTGGTTTACTGACCCTGCAAACTGCTGAGCAGTAGTGCAGGAC